ATCCCACCTCACAGATTTAGTAATCATAACATTAATCCATCCCACTATAAATTGAGAGCTCCTCTCTCATTTGGGGGGTTAGCTAATCTCTCTAAAGAAAAATAACATTCTCTCTCTTGTGTAATCACTTGTAAGTCAGTCCGCTGAACGCGACCTGACCACTATTATTAATACAAGAATCAGTGGACGTAGGATTTGCTTCCTTGAGCATCCGAACCACTTTAAACGCTGTTCTCCATTACTTTTTCTCTCATTCTCTCATCCATGTGTGTCTTCTGGGCCAGCTCAACATTTCACACGTGTGTTTGGCTGGTGTCAAAATCACGTATCAACATTTTGAAGATTCTTATGCAAATGGGTTATTTCTGAACCTGATGCAGACATAAGTACTCTTTTTTTTAAATCAGTTCAAATTCAGAGGAAAGAAGAAGACAACTTTTTTCTGGGACGTGAAGGCCCACCCTTGTCCTTATTTCATCTCTTTCTTAAACAGAAACCAACTTCACATACACAAACATCCTTGTGGCTTATATTTTGGCAGGTCTCAATTCTGTTTTGACTAAGTGAAAATGACTGATACTTTCTTGGTTTTGAGTTTGGAGGGTGTGGATTTGATGTTCGAGAAATGGATCAAATGAATGTGGAATTCTTTGGTAAAGGTGAATTTGTTGAGATTTGGCGATGCTTTAATCTTTTTCTTCTTGTTGAATAGGTGGTTTCTTGCTTGGAAGAATAAATATTGTCGATGTTTCAAAGCTGAAATTTTTCTCTTCAAGTTTCTGGCTTAAATTCTTGGAAAGTTCAATGGCTGATAGAAACTGAGAGTTTCTTAAATTCTTTTGCTTCTTTCTTGTTTTAGTACTCAGAGACAGTGATGGCAATAGGCCGAACGGGGATCGGGTATCCCTTGGCCCAGGCCCAAGTCTGATTTCATGACAAAGGCTCAAGCTCGGTACAAGCTGGTCACGGGTATGACAGGTAAAGCCTAAGCCCGGTTCGAATGATTTTTTGTAGTCTCAGGCCCGACTCAAGCTCGCCTATTTTTATAATGTGATTTTTAAATGTTAATAAATTTCATTTTTTTATATTTTTAATTCTAGAAACAATTTTTAAATATTAATTTATTTTTTAATACTCACCAAATATATAAATAACTTTTCACAAAGGGTGCGTTTGGTTCAGGAAATGTTGAATTACTGAGAATATTAGATTACTAGAATCTTATATTATCTTGAAAATTATTGGGAATCTTTAGAAAAATGTGTTTGATAGTTGGTGAGTATGTTATATTAATATATTTGGTTAGGGGGAATAAATTGGTGTGTATGTTATTTAAATTACTAAATTACCCTCTTTTTAAATATTAATATATTATTATTATTATTATTATTATTAATTTTTGAATAATTCTTTTAACCCCCAATATTTCAGATTTAGCTAAAACATCCAGCTTATGTAAACTTTAATTTATGACAAAATCACCCCACCCCCTGCCGCCACCGCAAACCACAGTCGAAAGTCTCTGAAAGTTGCCGTGAGTAGCTCACCGTGACCACGAGGCTCCGGTATGCCGTTTCTGGCCATATTGATGGCCGAAAACGGCTAGATCTCGCCTAGATTTAGCTATTAGCGGCCAGAACTATTCCACCCTAACGACCAGATCTGGCCTGATGTGGTTGTTTTCGGCCATCAATATGGCTGGAAATGGCCATATTGAAGCCTCCCAACGGATCTCGGTCATTTTTAGGGACTCTGGCAACTTTCTGGCGGCAATCCATAGTGGTTGGCCTATTGTTGGCGGTGGTGGCTGGGTGACGGTGGTTGTTTGTAATTTGTTTTAAATATAAGAGTATTATTGTCCAAAAACTTAATTAAACAAGGGTAAAATTGAAATGGAATATTAATGTAAGTTTATTTTAAAATAGGGGCATTATTGTCCAATTTTTTTTTTTTTTTTTTTTTTTTATTAATAAGAGATATAATTGTAACAAAAATAAGATTACTAAGGTAATCTTACAATACTTAAGAAAATGGAGATAATCAGATTACCTCCAATATTACAAACAGTAACAACTATTGGTAATACAAGATTACCGAAATCTTATATTACTTGACAATCAAGTAATATAAGATAACATAACCCTATTAATCTTCTATTACCTCCAACCAAACGCCCCCAAAATACATCCATCCATTCATATAGGGTTTGGGAAAGATGAGTATATATATGTAAGGTTTGGGAAAGATGTTTTGTTTGTATGGCTTACCATCTGTAATTTTTTTTTTTTTTTTTTTTTTTTTTTGCATACTTTTCCTTCTTTCTTGTTTTATTACTCAGAGAATTGTTTCCGACTAAAAATACTACGAAACGACCCTTAAATATATTAACCCATATCTGTTAAAATCACGAATAGGCCGCAATCGAACGAACATGAACGAACAGGCCCGTTCGAAAATCGTTCGATAAGCATGTTGTTCGGTTCGTGTTCGAACGAACACATGATGTGTGTTCGTGTTCGTTCGATAACAAAGCTCGTTCGTGTTCGTTCGTAACTCGTTCGTGTTCGTTCGACTAACTTGTTCGACTAACTGTTCGACTAACTTGTTCGACTAACTTTCGACTAACTTGTTCGTTCGACTAACTCGTTCGATAATTTGTAATACCTGTTCGACTAACTCGTTCGATAATGCATGATAATTTGAAATACCTGTTAGACTAACTTGTTCGATAATTTGTAAATACCTGTTCGAATAACTCGTTCAATAACTTGAAATACATGTTCGAATAACTTGTTCGAATAAAAAATGTACACTAACTTTCCAATTCATGCTCTAAAAAACAAATATGCAACAATTTATAATTCATACCATTAATTCAATATTTGAAAATAAACCAACTCTTTATATATTTATATATTAAACAAATCAATAAAACTCACTAAATTAAAATAAATAATATCATAAATAATAAAACTTCAAAACAAATTAAACAGAACAATAAATCGTTCAAAACAATTTAGTTCCATATCAAACATGACACAAACAAAAGGAATTTGTTTACATATATATATTTATTATCATTATATAATTATCCTAAATATTTTAAATATTTACATATATATTTGTATCAACATCATAAATTTATAGTGGAATAAAAGTTATTGTAATATATGATCAATACATATGTGTGATTAATTTGTTGATATATATATTTTGTATAACACCCATAAATTCATAGTGAAATGATGGCCTATTATAATATTGATCAATACATATGTGTGATTAATTGTATATATAATTGTTAATTGTGTATATACAAAATTTATCATCATATATTAATCATAAGTTAAATAGGTTATGAAATTACCAAAATTATAGGTTATCATATATTATTATCATTACATGAATTATCATAAATATTTTAAATGTTTCATATATTTTATATCAACACCCATAAATTTATAGTGGAATGAAAATCTTGTAATATATGATCAAATATATGTGTGATTAATTATAATAATAATATATCTATATATATATATATATTATCATTACTGTCTACATATTTATTCTGTACCAACACCTATAAATTCATAGTGATATGAGAGTTTATTGTAATAAATGATTATTACAAATGTGTGATTAATTTAGGTTTAATTAAACTATTATATTATTAAATTTGGTATGTTATACATCACTTGATTATACAATATGTTATGTTTATCAATTTACCATACTATATTTATTATTTATTAATTGAAATACTATCTTATAATATTTAATTATTGATTACATTTAGAAAAATATGAAACTATTATGTTATTGGATTTACTATATTATATATCACTTGATTATACACTTGATTATGTTATTAAATTTGTCATGCTATGTATCATAATAATTTATTACTTTTTAATTAAAATTCTATATACTTATATATTTTATTATTGATGACATTTGGAAAAAAAAATTCAAACATATTATATATATAAGAAAAACAAAAGCATCATAATATTTTATTATTGATTACCATTAAAAAAAATTCATCTAAACTAAATCAAACATAATATAAAAATGAAAAAAAAAAATTTAATTATAATAATGCATAACATATTTTTCGAACATAAACGAACGAACAATCGAATGGATGGATTAGTCGAACGTATAGTGTTCGCGAACATAATCGAACGAACAACCCCTGTTCGAACTCGATCGAACATATTATCGAACAACTATCGAACTGTTCGCAAACAAATGTTCGCGAACATTATCGAACAGTAATCGAACGAACAACGAACGTTCGCGAACTATTCGGTTCGTTTGCAGCCCTACATACGAATGGATCCACGGATGCAACACCAATTTTGCCCGGTCTTAAGAAAAAGACAACACAAAGGACAATTCAATAGGCCAGAGACACAGGGCGGCATAATAAATGGATTAAAGAAAAACAAGGGGAGACTAAAGGAATATTATGTTTTATCTTTTTTTTTTTTTTAATTTATAAAAAATAGAATAATATTACACTTATAATTTAATCTTATAAACTTTTTCTCACAACTTCGACAATAAATCTTACTTATTTAATTGTAAACTGTCAATTGGGTTTGTAAAAGAAAGTTTCTAAATTGGATTGTGAACCAATCTTTTATCGTAAAAAGTATAAGAATTCTACACTTATTTTAACATTACCATGTAATTAATCGATTAAAATTCCGTATTCATTTATATAGAATTTTAGAATATTATTTTGTACTTTACTTTATAAAACGAGATGGAAAGTTTCCAAAAAGTGTATACCTTATCTAATGTCGCTTTTTATACTTTTCTACTTCTATTTTTCCCGTTCACAAGCTAGGCTGCTACTACAGTTGACTCATTTGCGGTGTAGAATCTCCTGTTCAAATCGAAACCAAATTTGGTTCTATTTCGGTATTTCTATTTCCTTCATTTTATTAGGGTACTAATATTTCTTCTCCATTTCTGCATAATTAGACACCATGATCTTCGAAACTGTCGGAGGAGCAGTTCTTTCAGCTTTTCTTCAAGTGCTGTTTGACAGATTAGCTTCTCGTCAGTTCATAGACCTTTTCCAGAGACGTAAATTTGATGAGACTCTCCTACAGAGGCTGAAGATAACATTGTTAACAATTAACGCGGTGCTCAGTGACGCAGAGGAGAAACAAATTACAAACTCATTTGTGAAAGAATGGGTTGATGAACTTAAAGATGCTGCATACCAGGCTGAGGATTTGCTGGATGACATAGATACGGTCGCTTCAGATTGTAAACAGGGTGCTCAACTTCAAGCTTGCAACAGTGATCAGGTACGGAGCAACATCTCTAATCTCAATGCACTTACTAAAGAGTTGGGATGTAGACTTGAGAAGATGACTTCAAGGCTAGAACATTTAGCAAAGCAGAAAGATGTTCTCGGTCTAAAAGAAATGAATCAAAATCTTGCGGCAAAGCACTCTCCAAAACTGCCAACAACGTCTCTGGTGGATGAATCTGAAATATTTGGTAGAGATGATGACAAAGAGCTGATTACCAGTAAATTGCTTTCAAGTTGTGTTAATAGGGAGGACAATGTGAAGGATATCCCTGTAATTGCAATAATTGGGATTGGTGGGGTTGGAAAGACAACCCTCGCTCAGCTTTTGTACAATGATTTAAGGGTGAAGAAACATTTTAGTCCAAGAATATGGACATATGTTTCTGAAGATTTTGATGTGTTCAAGGTGTCTAAAGCCATTTTAGATTCGGTGACTTCACGACATTGCAACATTACTGATCTAAATGTAATTCAGGTCAGATTAAAGGAGAGATTGACTAGAAAAAGATTTCTTCTTGTTTTAGATGATGTATGGAACGAGAATTTTATCAACTGGGATGTTCTCCAAACTTGCTTCAAAGCTGCCGCCAAGGGGAGTCGAATTATTGTGACAACTCGTAACCAAGGAGTTGCATTTACAATGCAGGCCGTTTTTACTCATCGTCTTCTACAATTATCTGACAAAGATTGCTGGTCAGTGTTTGCAAGACAGTTTAAAAATGAGGAAACCCACTTACGTTCAAACTTGAAGCTAATTGGTGAAGAGATAGCAAAAAAGTGCAAAGGCTTGCCTTTGGCTGCAAAAACATTAGGGAGTTTATTGCACTTTAAGACAGAACCCCATGAATGGTACAAAATTTTAAACAACAAAATATGGGATCTACCAATTGATAAGAGCAACATACTTCCTTCTTTGAGATTGAGTTACTTCTATCTCCCTTCGTCTCTAAAACGATGCTTTTCTTATTGTTCAATGTTTCCCAAAGGTTATGTATTTGAAAAGGAGAAGTTAATTTTGTTATGGATGGCAGAAGGCTTTTTGCGGCAGACAGAGGAAGGGCATGAGTACTTTGATGAACTATTATCAAGGTCATTTTTTCAACAATCAAGTGGTAATGAAGGACATTTCATTATGCATGATCTTGTTAATGAATTAGCTCAAGGTGGTAATGAAGGACATTTCATTATGCATGATCTTGTCAATGAATTAGCTCAATTTGCAGCAGGTGAATTTTGCTTCAAGCTCGAGAGAGATGAGCCACATTACATTCCTGAACGAGCTCGCCACTTTTCATATGGTAGGGACCAGCTTGATGCTCCTGAGAAGTTTGAAGCCTTGCATGAAGTAAAGTTTCTGAGAACCTTCCTACCATTGAGCTTACCATCAAATCATGGCAGATACTGTAACTTAAATAAAATGGTTATTGAAGCGCTGTTGCCAACAATGAGATGTTTGCGTGTGGTGTCCCTGTCTGATTATAGCATCACTAGTTTGCCTGATATTTTTTGCAAACTGCAACATTTACGCTACTTGGACTTATCTCGCAATTTATTTCTAACATTGCCAAAATCAGTATGTTATTTGCACAATTTGCAGACATTGATTTTGTCAAGATGTTCTAATCTCACACAGTTGCCAGCAGATATGCGACACTTGTCTAAATTATGTTATCTTGATGTGTCTGAAACCAGGTTGAGAGAGATGCCACCTGAATTTGGTAGATTAGATTGTCTTCAAACACTTTTGTTGTGGGCAACAAGAGTGGTTCTAGCATTAGCGAGTTGAGTGGGCTCTTGAATCTCCATGGAAAGCTTTCCATTTTACAACTGCAAAATGTTAGGAATGCTACAGCTGCTGAGAATGCAAAACTGAAGGATAAGAAGAATATTAAAGAGCTCGTTTTCAGGTGGGACTCTAACATTCATGATCTACAAGCAGAAACAGATGTCCTTGAGAAGTTATGTCCTCACAAAAATATAGAGAAACTTACCCTTGACAAGTACAACGGTGGAAAGTTTCCACTTTGGTTGGGGGATGTATCATTCTCTAACATGGTGTTCCTACATCTTAATGATTGCAAAAATTGTTCTTCTTTACCATCACTGGGGCAGCTATCATCTCTCAAAAAACTCCGTATTACAAATATGGAGAGGTTGGTAGGTGTTGGCTCTGAATTCTATGGAGTTGGTCCATCTTCTATAAACCCATTCAAATCTTTGTGTAGTTTGTGGTTTGAGGGCATGCCAAATTGGATGCACTGGTCATCTTTTGAGGTAGATGGTGGAGAATTTCCTTCACTCCAGGAGCTTCACATAAGGAGCTGTCAAAAACTGACGAGGGACCTGCCCAAGAACCTTCCTTTATTGAAATTACTGAGAATTGATGACTGTAGGGAATTAGATTTGGTATTTGAGGATACCATATTTTACACTGAGCTTCAGGAACTAATCATAAGGTGTAGCTGTGATTCTCTCACAAATTTCCCAATGGGCTTTTTCAACAAGCTTAAATCTCTTCATATACAGGATTGCAGGTATCTCAAATTTATGGAAGTTTCAGAGGATCTTCTTGTCCCAGAATTCAGATTTCTTCAAGAAGTGGAAGTTAGTCATTGTGATAATCTGGTATCCTTTCCTGGGACAGGGTTGCTCACTCCCAACGAGACAAAATTTTCAGTCTCGAATTGCAGGAATCTCATGTCAATGCCAGATGGTGTTTCTCTTCCAGCACTGCGTATATCTCGCTGTCCAAAGCTTCGGTTATTTCTAAATGGTGTTTTGGCCCCCAACTTACAATCTCAATAAAAAAATTGTGACCATCTCAGTCCCCAGAAAGAGGAGGGATGCTGGATGCCTGCCTCTCTCATATCTTTTTGATTCAGTTAGTTTGCAGTGCATGAAGTCTTGGATCTCAGTGTCCCTCTGTTCCTCCCATATCTTGAAAACCTGGAGATCAACAGCTGTGTTAGCCTTCTCTGCTTGTCACATGGGAGGCTGTCAAGCTCCCTTTCTTTTCTGCACATGTGTGAATGTTCTTTGCTGACAGCGCATTGCCAAAAGGAGCAAGGAGAAGATTGGCCCTAGATATGTCATGTCTGCAACATAGAAATCTGCAAATAAGTAATGCTATGTACTTTTCAAGACGGAAGATAATGGATGGAGGCAGAGAAAGGAACCCGTTTTCTATTCAGGTATATAGTTCATTTTAAATTCTGAGAGTACAATTAATAACTTAGTTTGCTGGTTTATAGTTATCAACTGTTGTTGGTGAAGTTAAATTTTTCTGCATTTCTAGTCCATGCAATGGCTTAAGAAATTCTTTTTCCCTTTTCTCTTATTTTCTACTCTTTTACTGGATATTCCTGTGTATACTTGCTAGTTGCTTGTATGAATAGAGAAACAGGTTTTGTTGAGAAGTTGGCCTAATAGATTCAATGGTTCATTTATTATCTGTTTACATTGATGATAGGGTATCTAATTTGTTGCCATCATGCAGAAGTGGTGTATTTTTATGGTGTAGTTTTGTATAATTGACTATTCTATTTGGTCCTCATTTTTCTTTGCATATGTTGCAGATAAAGTTGGGAACAGTTGATCTGAGTGAAGCTTAGATTGAATGGGTGATCAGACCATACATGAACACAACCAAGAAGAGGAGGTTCCTTGGGGATTGATAATCAGAGAATCGTTTCAGGCTTTATTCTTTGTGCAGGATTATGTTTCCTGAGTACTTTGAGGTGTTGGATTTAACATAATTTATAATAATTTTGATATGATATAGTTTACACATGGATTAATGTTACCACATTTCCATAACTATTTCCAAAATATCCGATAAGTATCACCCCTAAACCTTGCTGGTAAGTTTACTCTTTTTTGTTTAAATTAAATATAAAAACTAAACTTCAGATTACGTCTTTTTTGGTTCCGAGGAGATGGTCATTGCAATTTTATGTGGTTTTGTTGAAGTTTAGCTTGTAACTTTGCGTTGTGCTCTTTAGTTTTTGCTTTGGGGAGATATTCAGCTTGATGCAATCCCTGGTGTTTATAAGCTTCAGATAACTTGGAGCTTTTAAAAAGAAATTTAACAAATTCGAAGAAATGTAGGAACACTTTTGTTTACATTTAATCTTTTTGGTGAATGGAGTAGAATAAACAATTTTTTTTTCCTGGCTACAGAGATGTTTTCATGGTTGGGCATGTTGGAATATGAACACTTTTCGGTAATTGATGAAGAAAAGGCAATCAAGAAGGAAAGGCAAGTAAGAAGAAAAGGCAAACAAGAAGAAAAGGAATTTAAGTTTTAGGCAAATTTCTAGTTTAGGAATTTGTAATTGAAGAATATTTGTTTTCCTTTTACTTTGAGTTTTACTAAGAAAGAAGAATTGCTTTAGGACTTTATTTAAGTTAAAATAGGAGAATGATTTAAATTAGAAGAGTTCTATTAGGAATAGGAATATGAATCCTAGTAGAATAAGAATGTCTTATTTTACCTATAAATAAGGGAGTTAGAACCAATTCAAGGTAATGAGAGAGGAATAAGAGAAAGAGAAAATGTGAGGATACAAGGAGTTTTGATGTAAGGGTACTACGGGTATCGAGTAAATACCAAGGGGTATTAAACATCATAGGAACGGGATGTCCGCCTAAGTAAAGGTACTAGGTTGATGGTGTGATGAAATACTTGTATCGTATGCATATTATTATAGTGAAAACCCTCTCATCCGTGGATGTAGGCAAGTTATACCGAATCATGTAAAATACCATGTGCCTTTATATGTGTTGTTATTGCTATTACTTATTTTTTATGTTTTACTCCTCTGATTTTAACATGGTATCAGAGCAGATTCAGATTCAGATTCTTACCATGGTATCAGAGCAATTGGTTGCATTGCTGTCAGATTCTTAACATGGTATCGGAGCTTATTTTCTTAAGGGACCTACAGGAGAAAGGGCCTAAGGAAGATGAAGCAAAAATTACAGGGTGATGGTCTGCAAGAATGTCGGCGACAGGATTGACGAGAGAAAGCCATCGAGACTCCAACCAAAGGTGGAGATGAAACTTGGGGCCTATCAGAGCCAAACTATCCTCGACCCGACTCATGCCAAGCGCCTCAAGGGAGAGGTAGACAGGATGACCATGACGACAAAGGTGTCATCGAATTTGGGTGGGAGAGAGTGTCACACCGAGCGCCCGAAGCAGAAGAAGGTAGGCAGGGTGGTCAATTCCAAAATTCTCACATCGGGCAGGAAGAAGGTTCTTGAGAAGATGAACTTGAGGAAGAAAAGGAAAGACTCTAACACAGGTTGGAGATAAGAAGCCAGCACTAAGGGTGGTAGGCTGAAGAAAAAGAAGCCAACACTAAGGGTGGAAGGCTAAAGTTGTAGAAGAAACGAGGAGTAAGAGAATGAAGAACAAGCTGAAAAGATGAATTACCAAAAAGGTTCAAGGAGGACTGTTGGAATATGAACACTTTTTGGTAATTGATGAAGAAAAGGCAATCAAGAAGGAAAGGCAAGTAAGAAGAAAAGGCAAACAAGAAGAAAAGGAATTTAAGTTTTAGGCAAATTTCTAGTTTAGGAATTTGTAATTGAAGAATATTTGTTTTCCTTTTACTTTGAGTTTTACTAAGAAAGAAGAATTGCTTTAGGACTTTATTTAAGTTAAAATAGGAGAATGATTTAAATTAGAAGAGTTCTATTAAGAATAGGAATATGAATCCTAGTAGAATAAGAATGTCTTATTTTACCTATAAATAAGGGAGTTAGAACCAATTCAAGGTAATGAGAGAGGAATAAGAGAAAGAGAGAATGTGAGGATACAAGGGGTTTTGATGTAAGGGTACTACGGGTATCGAGTAAATACCAAGGGGTATTAAACACCATAGGAATGGGATGTCCGCCTAAGTAAAGGGGTTGATGGTGTGATGAAACACTTGTATCATATTCATATTATTATAGTGAAAACTCTCTCATCCGTAGATGTAAGCGAGTTATGCCGAACCACGTAAAATATTGTGTGCCTTTTTTTATGTTGTTATTGTTGTTCTTTATTTTTATGTTTTACTCCTCCGATTTTCAACATAGTATCAGAGAAGATTCAGATTCTTAACATGGTATCAGAGCAATTGGTTGCATTGTTGTCAGATTCTTAATAGGGCATAAATGATAATATGTTTCTCTTTCTTATTGCTGAAACTCAGTGCCGAAGAGTCATATTGATGATGAATATGCAAATGCAACGGAAAGAGATCCAAAATTTTTGCTGACTACGTCCCTGAATCCAAGTGCTCCTCTTGCACAATTTGTAAAGGTTAGCCTTGTGGTGTTGTATCTTTGATTAATATATATGCCGAGTCTAGCTATGCTTTTTGTTCGTATTGAGAATGTAAGTTTGTCTTGATCATCGGCTGTGTTCTTAATTGCCACTATTCCTGCAGGAATTGAAGTTTGTGTTCCCTAATGCACAGCGAATGAATCGTGGTTCCCAGGTTGGTCTTTAATTTATGCTTGTCCACTCTTCCCTTCTTTGACATGTGCATAGTAGATTCGAAGTCTTCATCTTTTTGTTTTGGTTCCTATTGATTTGAGTCATGGTTAATTATAATTTTCAGTCATACACATCGAATGTAGACCTTGTATATATTCATTTATGTTTATGAGAATATTGAAGCAAATCTTCCTTCTATGTGGGAGAATTAAAATACTACTGTGGAGCTCTTTCCTATGAGCTTTTAAGCTTTGTGGATTAATAGTTTCACAATGTGACATCACAGCCAATATAGTCAAGAATCCATCCTCATAATCCCTTCATATCATTAATTTGATTATGAGTTTGTCTGTGCATATTTTTTGTATCCATGTGACAAGTCCATTAATTTTGGTCATGCAAGGTAAGGGGCATCTTAAAGTTTAAATCCTATGATTGTCCTCCTTTTCTGAGCTTTTTATAAATTAGCATCTGAACATTCAGCTTTAAGCTAGGCTGCAAACAAATATAAATATGAGAAAATTTCTCAATTTTTTTCCTTGCAGGTTATATCTGAAATTATTGAAACTTGCCGCGCGCATGATTTTACTGATGTTGTGTTGGCTCATGAACATCGTGGTTTGCCAGATGGTTTAATTATAAGTCATCTACCTTTTGGCCCAACTGCCTACTTTGGATTACTCAACGTGGCAAGTATCCTTTCCCAGTTGGGGAAATAAAGTGTTTGCTGGAAAATCAACTGGATTGTGTGCATATTATGGTTGTGTTCACATTGTTACCACTTTTTGCACTTTCTTATTGGTATCACTTTACGTGTAATAGCATGCAACGTGTTAATAATAATGATTTACTCCTCTCAAAGAAGTACTGTGAAAATACTGTATTGGCATTACAGCAAGTTTTTCCTATTCTTTTTCTGGAAATCATCTAGGAATGACTGATTATATGTAGGAAAAATAATTGTAACTTGTGAGAAGGATTTTACTAATACTTGATTGTTATGTCATTCAGGAATTTCGTTTCATTTCGTGTTATTGTGTAAATTTGACAATCTTTATTGACATATTGAACTGATATTGCATCTATGGATCTATGTAAACATTGTCAGCTAGGTGAAAGAACAGCGAACATTCTAAAGCATTTATTTCCAGTGCCAAAGCCAGTTAACTAAACGCATTATCACTTTCTCTAATCAGTCTGACTATGTTTCTTTCAGGTTGGTTTGTAGCAGCATATTTCAAAAGTTGTTTGTCTTGACTGTATTTTGGTTGTTGAACTTTATTTCCTGAGTACTTTGAGGTGTTGGGTTTAACATAATTTATAAAAAATTTGTTGCTCACACCCTAATGTATGTAGCTAATATTCATGATTACATGGTCATATTATCTATAACTGAGTTGAAACAATAGTAGCTTACTGTAGAACCTTCCTTGACAAGCTCAAGGAATATCTTCATTAGATCGTGTTGAAAGGTGATATCATGCTGGAAATGCAGAAAGGTGGCAATTTTTTTTTGAACTGCAGCTGAAGTCTGTTGATCTCCCGTAAATTCATGCAGAAGCAGTTTTTATTTTGGTCACTGTGTTGGTTGATTCATTGACATGATTGGTTGTTTTAGGTTTGGTTTAGTGTTGTTTCTCACTTGCTTGTACGTGTTTTAGCAGGTGGAGTTAATTTAAATTTGAATTTTGAAATGTAATTAGTTGAAACAGTGACGTTGGGCGTGATATTTTTACCCCTGTTTTTTGAATAAAAAACAGAGCATTATTGCAGACTGGTTTCTCTTTCGTTTTGTTTTTTCTGTTTCGTTTGCATGCAAAACTATCAAATGGTATCAGAGCTTTAATTGATCTTAGAGAGCCTGATAATTAATCTTCTTTCTTCTTACTTTCAACCCAGTTTCGTCACTCTCTTCGTAAAAAAAAAAAACTCAAAATTTTTTTTTCAGTTTCAATGGCACAACCTCCAGTCTCTCTCACACCAGTCTTTAGGCGATCAATACCACATGTGGCAGTCAAGATGAAGGCATCTTCGTGGACAGGGTCTGTGGCAGTACGTGGAAGAGAACCGTCAACTGCCTCCCTTGGGACCAATCCCACCTGAATCAAATCAGGATGCATG